CTATACCCCTCCCCAAGCGAAAGTTTCTGAGCCGATCTCTTGTCGCCGCAAAGAACTTGAACAGTTAATGTGCCACCGTTCTTAGTGGTTTGTACCCTTTTATATTTGGTTTTCTTTGTTTATACAAATGGTTTCTTGTGTTGTTTCTTTTTCTATACATCTATATCATCCCCTTATACCAAAAACTATAACTAATTTAAATAATCCTTAACTAATCCGTGCGTCCGTCGTCAGCTGTACCGCTGTCTCTTCTCGTCACCGTCCAGTTGGTGGTGCCGCAAAGTCGGCTTCACTAGTCCCAGCTCTCCCGCTCGTCTCCATGTGCTCGTCGTCTCCGTCGTCGGGTGAGCGGCCATTCGTCTCCTCATACAGTGTGCGGAACGGTGCTGATTCTCCCAGATCGTTGGTTTGAGAAAGCGGTTAGAGAGTTGGCGACTCCCTAGACAAGCGTTATATTACATAAATTTATGTAATACAACATGAACAGCGCATGCACAACAACTGCTCGGACGAATAGCGCATACGAACAGGTGTCCGATGCTTGGACGAATATCCACGTCCATAATTACCAGAAAATTTCGCTCAAATGCTTATCTCAAACACACAAGTACACCGCACGCACCACAGGCACTTGGAACGTCTCAATAAATAAATAAAAAGGTAAATAAACACGAAATGTATTTACTACCAAGGTCTTAATGTTTCTCTACTCTATTTCGCCTATAATCAACTGTAAATGCCGGTCAAATGCTCATCTGCAACACACAAGTACGCCGCACACTAGCTGCTGCACACTGACACATAAATATATATTTATAAATTATATAAAAATATATATTTATGTGTCAGTGTGCAGCAGCTAGCGTGCGGCTGCCAGCGTGTGACAGTGTGTTGCAGATGAGCATTTGGACGGCATTTACAGGAAATTGTCGACAATAATAGGTGAAAGAGAGTAGAGAAACATTAAGACTTTGGTAGTAAATAGATTTCGTATTTATTTAGCATTATATTTTATTGAAATGCTCCAAGTGCCTGTGGCACGCACGCCCTTTGCACAAACAACAAGAAGAAGAGAGTTGACAAGTAAAGTTTTTAAGTTTTAACAAACACGTACAATGATTTGTGGGCGTGGTTGGTTATTTCGGCAGATCATGATGTTCGATCAACTGGGTTAAAATTAGACCAATAAACTGTGTACTCAAAACCTACACAATCTGACGCTATATTCTACGATCATCAATCTAAGATCCAACTTATGACTGCATGCAACTTATATTAGCTGATCACTGCGTGTTCTACTGCTAGCTAGCTTGTTCGTTAGGAGAAGTTCTTCGATCTGAATCGCTATAGATCCTGCATGAATGGTCTTGCCCAAACAAATGAAAACTTGACTCTAATGGGTCAACTCCATGACACTGTGACCTATCACAGGGTTGCTTCTGTATGGACGAATTTATTGAGCTGTGTCTGATGTGCGAGGTATTGCTATATTTTAGTCGTACGTGCCCATGACATTGTCATGGCATTGCTGTCCACAACTGAACCAATGATTCAAACACTTGAGATATTAGCCTCGTTCACACGAGACCTCGTATTTATGAAATACCGGATTTGCGAAATACCGAATCTGAGACAAATACGCGGCCGAGCGTTCACACGCTGATTCGCGGCTCCAGAAATACGGTATTTGCGAAATACCGAATCTGAGACAAATACGCGGCCGAGCGTTCACACGCTGATTCGCGGCTCTAGAAATACGGTATTTGCGAGCTGCGAGCTGCTTTAAACAATCAAGCGAACAATGCGAAATAAACAATGCAATGCGCACCAACTGCCGATAACTCGACCATATGCCGACCACTCGCGTTACACTGGAACTGTCGAGCGCGGACCAGTCTATAAAATACGCGGCTCCAGAAATCCAGTATTTAGCGTTCACACGAGGAAATGCGCGGTCCAAGAAATCCGGTATTTCTCAAGCACGGCAAATTATTCGGGGTCTGGGAAGCCTCGTATTTACATGAAATACCGGATCTGTTTAGATACCGTATTTCTTGGGCCTCGTATTTTGCCTCATGGGAACGCTAAATACCGAATTTCTTGCTACGTGTGAACGCGGCTAATCTCTGTGATTGGTATATTGTATTTCATAACATTTTTTTTACTTGTCAGGTTTGCAGGTGACAGTGCAACAGGTGCACATCGGAACAACACACTTCATCAATGCCGTGATACAGAGAAAGCACCTGGTCAAAGTCTCCGTGTTAAGACTGTGCGGACCTGCTTCCACCTCCCTCCCACCATTCTGTGACATCCCTGTAGGTCTAGGAAAGGTACGTCAACTTATAGCAGCTGCATGTTCATTTGTTTTGAATGACAAGAGCTGTAATACTTCCTCAAAAATAGAAATATTATATGTCAAGAGTATTGTTCAAAACTATGTACAGTAGAAGTCCGAAAGTCCGGACTGCTGGGGGATTGGATCGGTCCGAATTTTCGGATTTTCCAGATTCTTGGGCAGTACTTATACCTGTCTGGACAGGCGTCAGTCTTTGGCTTGTGTTTTCAGTGTGTTTATGGATCACACCATTTAATTGGAGGCGGATACCAGTTTGATGGGAGTGAGATATCCAAAGTTGATCCAGAAGAGGTGAAGCACTGTATAAGGGAGATCTATTCGAATGGCATTAGAAACGTTGTGATTGCTGGAATCTTCTCATCTGTGGACTCATCACAGGAAACTCAGGTAATAATTAATTACATGTGCACAATCAATCTCTGGGTGACCTTTGATTGGTAATCGAGTAAATTTACACACACCATGAGAATCACTAGCTGTCTACATAGTCTGTATAATGAAGGTAAATAGGAATACTTTATCCAACCATGTAAACAGACTGTACCTGTAGATAGACAGACCCTGTAGACCTCTTAAATGCATACTCAATCTAAAATCCTTTGCAGCTATATACTTGAAAACGAGAACTTACGCCTCTAATTTCATAAAGAGTCACATTAAAACAACATTGCTAATGGCGGTCAAGAGCTAGTTCAAAAGATGTGGAAATCGTCGCAATTGTATAGGAACAGCTCGAGTAATTTGTTGAGTGATTATATGCAAAGCTTTTATGGTTTGCATTTATTAGTAGAAGTAGTCAGTCACATGGGATGTATAATTCGAACAATGTACGCATGTATGTTCCGGCATCAGCCCCAGCCCAGAGTTAAACTCACCAATATATCACTGCCAGATCCATCAGTTGCTGATACTATTGTCCATCTCTGAATCTCTGCCCTGGTCAGATACATTTTAAGTCTGCAATACTGTATACAGCTAAATGCTTGTGGGTGAACCTCTAGATGAGTATTTAGCATATTAATGACAACGATCGACTGTGATATCTAGTTCTGGGAAGCCGTAGTTGATGATCGCGCTCCATTGGGGCGTACGGCATAATGCACATGCTGATATGCAAACAGATGGTGTTCTCTGAACAGAAAGTTGGTGCTGGATGCGTTGTTGACACTAGAATGCTGCTGCGACTGCGTCATCAATTAATCTCACTATGGGCAGCTATCAGAAATAATAATTACACCTAATATGTTCTAATCATGACTCATAACAGGTCTGCCTGACTGGCACTAGACTGACTAGAGCATCAGATGCATGCTTGTCCCGTTGACTTTTCCGTGTACTGTTATCCATCTGCTTAGACTCTATTAGAATTTTTTATGGAGAAATTTTTTGTCTAATTTTCTTATTCATCTAACCACGCTTAAATTATGTTGCATGGCAGTCAACATTGTAATACCGCTTGTTACTTCTACTTAGAACTTCTAACTTTGTATGTAAAACTAAATCCCACTGCACCTTATACTTATAGACAACTGTCTTAGTTATATTTAAAACGGGTTGACAAACTGCTATTCCGTGAATGTAGCCGTGCTGAGGGAGCAACAGCCCGTCCATAGATAGTGGGCAAAGTTAAATAAGTAATAAATGTAAATATGCTTTAAAATATATATGCAATAAAAATAAAACACAAATGATTTCTTTCGCCTAATCCTATCGTAAATCGAATTTATTTATTAAAATATAAAAGTAGACCAGGCCAAATTATGGCCCTGTGACGTTCAGTGACATACTGTGGGTGTATGAAGACTAAATCACTGCTATGTTGTTGTTACTTCTACCTTTTAGTTAAATATATTACTTTACTGTTTTGCCACATTACCCCAGTTATATAGACTGTTACCTGTACATGATAATTTGGTATACTAGTGTGTGCGTGGCGTGTTGCGTGCGGTGCGGTGCGTGTGTGTGCGCGTGGCGTGTGCACATGTTTGTTATGATATTATTTACACTGATCATGCTTATACTTTGCGAGGGCCGACTCTGAATCAAAGTCCGTCGGAATGATATAAATGTGCATAAATGATGTAAGCAGTAGTAGGTCAAATGATGTAGCCAATGTGACGTTATAAGTATCAAACATTACAGTGTGCTAATGTGTAATTCGGGCCAATATTTATTTTGCAACAATTCCACGAAATATTGAAAATAGATGATTTTGTTGTCTGTCGGACAATATATTATAGTCAATTCAACGTCTGTACTCCGCACGGCGCGCATTAGCGCAACATTCTAGTCTCTCTGTATGATACACAAAGAAGAACACAACCGTTTGCAATGCCCAGTCTGTGGTACGCGTACTGCCGTCGTTAGTAGTAGCACATAGATGCCAAAAACATACTGCTAGATATTATACGTCATGAATCACTCAATCCAGCTACTGAGTTTGGAACAGAATAATGTCACAGACACCTTTCGGACCATCTGTTACTGACTGGCTACTGTAAATGTCTGTAATTGTAAGATGTGTCACTCAGCTGTAGTAATCTGTTCCTTGGTTTATTATATAATACTCGTTATATTTCACAAAAAGTTGGGATTGTGACTGTTTTACTTGTTTCTAAAATTGATACGCATTTCAGTAATATAGGTGTTTAGTTAATATTATAGACGCCCAGGGTGGGTGACCGTGGACTATACCCAGATATCTTGAATCCTTGAACTGCATATCATGCAGCCGTTGGGTCAACATTGGCAATTAATTGGCACGGTCACGATTGACAATATGACGTTAGCCGAATTATGTTAATAAATGTTGGCGTAATAGTTGGCATAATTAACTAGTTGACAATTTTTTTTGGCTGAATGACGTTACGCCAGCATCGCTTACGCGTTCGCGCATTGAGATACCAGTATGTGACCTATATTACATACTACATAGGATTAGAATGTGTGCAAAATCACGTTTTTCTCTATCAACTTTGCTATTTATCAATCTTTGTATTTTGAAATCGGTTACGCGGCAGGGTAAATCTCTCTCTCCAGGCTCTGTCCTGCATACAGATTTATGAGGCTTTGTCTATTCTGGACACAGATTTATCATGTATGAGGTATCCGATGGCGGATGCAGTTAAAGACGGCAGATCGCAGGCAGGAATGGAGAAGGCAGTATTATGTTAACGTCATGTATGGAGTGACGATGCAGAATTTATATCTGCATTCTGTTATGTATCTTTTATACAAATGTTGGGATCATATTAGCATTCCTTATTGTATCCCCGCGACGAAGTCGGCGGGATACTATGGTTTCATGCTGTCAGCCGTCGCCGCCGCAGCACTTTCCCTTCCGCTCTATAACTCGACCCCTAATTCGACTTAGCGTGACCAAACATAGTCTACATACACATCTTGGGAGAAGGTGTGTCGGCGTACCAAAACCAGGTCACTGCGACCTTTATTTGACCTTGACATTGACCTTGATCATATTTCCTTCCCGCTCTATAACTCGCCCCTAATTGACCTAGCGTGACTAAACATAGTCTCAATACACATCTTGGGAGAAGGTGTGTCACGCTACCAAAACCAGGTCACTGCAACGCTTTATTTGATCTTGACATTGACCTTGATCATATTTTCCTTCCGCTCTATAACTCGCGCCCTAATTTACCTAGTGCTACAAACTTGGTATACTTACACATCTTGGGGAGAATGTGTGTCGGCGTACCAAACCACGTCACTGGCTGGCTTTTATTTGACCTTGACCTTGATTATATTTCCCTTCCGCTCTATACGTCGGCCCATAATTGACCTAGCGTGACCAACTTGGTATACTTACACATCTTGGGGAGAAGGTGTGCATTACGCGAAACCAGGTCACTGCAACCTTTATTTAAACATTGACCTTGACCTTGACCATCATATTGTTCTTTCCGCTCTATAACTCGGCCCCTAATATGACTAGCGCGAGCAAACTTCGTATACTTACACATCTTGGGGAGAAGGTGTGTCGCGTACCAAAACCCTAAGGCAACCAATTTTAACATACTTGACATTCTCAGGCAGATGTGTTGTGTAACAAACCTACGTCCTTACAGAGATATTCATTTATACTAGATCACAGGAATACATGTAGTTGGCGGACAACTGCCCTTTCTAGACTAAGTGGTGGCCCCCGGACGGCCCGTCCTTTCAACCGCAGGTGTCATTAAAATTTGTAGCGGCACGCTCCCCCTAGTGGCCATTAAATACAAAACAGGGAATTACATTAGGGGAATTCACTGGGAATTCGCTTAGTCTGACTTCGTGGGCAACAGTGACTGACTTGACACAGCGTTTGTGGTAAGCATGTCATCGTAACATCGTTGAAAATTGTTGGCATATGAAGCGCACACGAAAAACTATAATAAAACTGAAATAAGCCTAATTACCTCATGACTACGCCCACCGCATGCCACTCACGATGTTTACTCGGTGACGATGCCATCGCAAATCCCATTGGTTGATACAAATCACGTGCCTCAAACTCCTCAATGACGCCCCAGTGTTGTCAAGGCACATCCATAAGACATAACCCGAATGCCTCGATAGCTGAATGCCTAGAGCACAGAGGACACTGCTGAAATGTCGTTGGATCGAATCCCATCTGTTTTTTAATTATTTTCCTGTTTTCTGTATTTTTCTATGTTTATCCATATTTACATGATTTAATTACAACAGTTTAATAACGCACGGACGCACGCACGCACACACGGACGCACGCACGCACGCACGTGTACGTGCACACGCACGCACACACTCATGCTCGCGCACACTCATGGGATTTGGGAGCTATGCAGGCACACCCCGACCCGCTGTACAACATACACTATAGCATGCGTCAGCATTACTTCAACCTTGAAGACGTACGGCTTCGTAGCCACGTGGGCTACAGCGGATTGGAAAGGAAAGCCATGCTGCACCACTTGACCTATAGTTTAATTGGACGGGACACCTGCAGGTGACACGTGGGGGTCACATGACTGTGACCACGTGGTGTTCCACGGCTGTATATAAGCTGCGGCGTCCAGCTCCAAAGCAACACATGGCCAGCTTGGCTCAGTCAGGGAAGCTCGCACCCTCCCACTGCTCTCTAGCTGCTGGCGGCTTGTCCGACCTGCTAGCTGACCATGTAGGGTGTAGCGGAGCTGGTCAGAATCTACGCAAGAATACGAACGCAGGACGATGATCACGCCTGCTTCCTGCCATCTGACGCAAGCGATACAGCAGTGCCGGAGCCAGCTCGGCTGCGTCAGGGAGTCGCACCCTCTCACTGCTCGCGCACGCACGCACGCACGCAGCAACGCCACGTGTACGTGCACATACATAAAGCAGTGCTTTACTATCAGACACTTAGT